ACCTAGCAAGCTCTCTTTTCAATAGATAAATAAATCTGCAATCGTGGAAATCTATAGCTCATGTCTGGGAGGGGCACTAGAGAAGGAGCACCTAAGAGCAGACCCCGACATCTCCAAGACTCTCTTCTCTGACTTCTGCAGACAGGCTGTAGCTACAATGGAGAAAGGTGGGGAACGTGGTCATTTGCAGCCCAAACTTGGGTTTGGAAAGAGAGCTTCTTCCTCTCGACATCAGTCTACAGGTCAGAGAAGGGTCTAGTACGATCAGTAGGTCCTGACGAGGTTGAGTTATGTGTCTGTCTGTGTTTGCCATGTTGTTTAGATAGAGTCTCACTACATAGCTCTGGTCATAGACAGGGTTGTCTTGAACTCTCTGAGGTCTCCCTGCCTCTGAATACAAAGTGCTGTGATTATAGGCATGCACTGCTGTGTGCGTACGTGTGTGTGTGTGTGTGTGTGTGTGTGTGTGTGTGTGGTGTCTGTCCATGTATAAGGGAAGGCCAGAAGACAATGTCAAGCGTCTTCAGTTACTCCCCATGTTGTTTTAATAGGGTCTCTCATTACACCTAGAGTTCGGTTTTGACTGGCCAGCTTCTGTCTCTACCTCCCCAACACTGGGATCACCGTTGCACATAGGTACTGTACCCAGCTTTTATGTGGGTGCTGGGGTTCTGAACGCAGGTCTTCCTGCTGACACAGAAGACATTTTACAGACTGAGACATCTCCGGCCCTCACATACCGGGTCTTATAATGGAGCAAGTAGGTAGTAGCCAGACTTAGCTACAGGAGACCCAGTCTGGGGAAAGAGGGAGAAGGTGGTGGTGGTGGTGATGGTGGTGTGTGTGTGTGTGTGTGTGTGTGTGTGTGTGTGTGTGTGTACATGTGTATATTGAGTTACCAAGAAGAAAATGACGGTAGCATGGGCCAACTAAACAATAATTACACGTCCACCATGCCTAAAGGTTTCATGTCTTTGTGGGTATATTGAGGCTGGTGGGGTCAGGAGCCAAGCGGAGCCTCTGAAAATGGGGTCCACAGATGATCACAACCAGGCTTTGCCTGTTACCACTATGATTATTACTGGGTACCAGCCATTTGGCTGATAGCCTCTATCGGCCTAGGTTAGATATATATAGTATATACGTCATTTCCCTCTCACAAGCACTCGAACAAGCACTCACAGTTTTCTTTCTCTTCTTTTTAACTCCCCAACTCTGATAAAGTTTATAAAGCCGAGGGTGACCTCAACCTCAAGATACTCCTCCCTCTGCCTTTTGAGCTCTGGAATCAAAGGTGTGTGTCACCACACACAGCTTTTTCAAAATGAGGAGGGCTGGGGTACAGCTCAGTGGGACAGGGCTACCTAAGCATGCCCCAGGCCCCAGGCCTCAGGTCCCAGGCTGTCTTCTTATCACTGCATGGCAAACAAACAAACCCAACATAATCTTAGACTCTAATTGGGATTTCTCCGCTGCTCGGGAGGACCAGGCAGGAGAACAGCAAATTTAAAAGCTAACCTTGGTGATATAACAAGAACTCATCTCAGCTGGGTGGTGGTGGTGTGCACACTTTCAATCCCAGCCCTCGGGAGGCAGAAGCAGGTGGATTTCTGTGAGTTCGAAGCCAGCCTGGTCTATAGTGGGGATTCTAGGATAGCCAGGGGTATACAAAGAAACCCTGTCTAAAAACAAAACAAAACCTCATTTCAACAATAACTCTTAGTGTGTGATAGAATGCCTCTTTAGAGGGCTGGAGAGATGTCTCAGTGGTTAAGAGCACTAACTACTCTTGCAGAGAACTTGGGTTCAATTCCCAGCACCCACATGGCAGCTCACAACTGTCTATAACTCCAAAATTTGATATCCTCATACAGACATACATGCAGGCAAAACACCAATGCACATAAAATAAATAATTAAAAAAGAATGTCTGTTTAGTATGTAGTCCCTAGATTTGATCTTTAGATCAAGCAAAGAGGGAGGGGCAAGGGAGAGGTGACTGTAGCTAGGGCTACACAGAGGGTGAATGGGGTTCTTCTGTGAAGCTTCTCTCTCCAGTCAGGCTGCAGAGAAGCCCAGGAGATGGGGTTGGTCTAGACTGTAGCTTTCATGTCCTTCCCAACTTCACACTCCTGGGCTTCCCTTGTCTTTAAGGTCCTCGGTGACAGACAAATATTCATCTGTCGGGCACAGCCTTTCTCAAGAACTTGTTCTCTCGGTTGATGACCCTGCATGGAATTTTCTAGTCTGGCCTGTTCACTGGAGGAAAAATGGCTGGAGTTCTTGACAGGGCCATGCAGTGCAAAGTCAAAGGGACCCTCTCACTAGACTTACAGAACCTCCAGCCTCCAGCTCTCTCTCTGCATCTATGCAGGGAATCACTGCCCTAGGAAGCTAGAGGAGTGGAGGGCTCCCCCGTACCTACTCATACCCTCAGGGCTCACACTTCAGACATGTCCCCGCCATCTTTTTCACGTTTGAAAGGCAAAGACCTAAAAAATATGATGGTGGCCTGCCATCCACGGCTGTACACATTTACATGACTCAAAAGCAGTTAACTATTGGCTAGTCACGTACTTCAGCTGGTAGAGTGCTTAACACTTAAGAAGCCCCATGTTCAGTCCCCAGGGTGGAACACACTGAGCACATCAGTCATCTCAGCACTCAAGAGGCAGAGGCAGAAGAATCAGGAGTTCAAGGTCATCCTTGGCTGCACAGCAAGTTTGATGCCAACCTGGGAGACAGGAAATCCTGGCATAAACACGATAAAACAACCCCCCCAATCTAATCAAATTTTTCTCCTTGAACAAAAAATAGATTTTTTACTAGACAGTGTTGGCTTGGACTGTCATCTTAAATGAAGTCCAGATTGTCATCTTAGAGGAACTGGGATGGGTTTAGTTTTTTCAGCAAGCACTTGTCACCAGCAGTTTGCAGAGCCCTGACGACCGGGCACTGGGCAGGAATGGCAGGTTGGCCCTGGAGTGGAAAAGGCACCTGCTAAGTAGTAGGGGCCAAGGCTAGGAGGAGGGAGAGGAAGTGGGGAAGGCCAGAGCAGGTCGGGTCCCTGGAAAAAATGGCATCTGGATACCCATCCGTCAGCTAGGCCAGCTGGGGGGGGGGGGGGGGCAGCCCTTCTCCCTTTCACTTTTGGTTTATTTGGTGGGAGGGGGAGTGTTGTTGCCACAGTACACAAGTGGAGGTCAGAGGTTAACTTGGCAAAGATAGTTATCTCCTCCCACCCTGTGGGTTCCACTGTCATCAAGCTTGGGGGGAAAGTGACCCCATCCACTGAACCACCTCAATGACCTATGCTCCTTTCTGCCATCTGGGGTTCTAATGATGTACAGCCCCTACTACTGGACTGTGTCCCCCATTCTTGCTGGAACAAAGAATGGAAGTCTGCTTCGTTCCTGTTCGGGGGCTTGTTTCAGGCAGTTCCACTGTGTAGTTCAGACTGGAACTCACTCTATAAACCAAGCTAGTCAAGAACTGTCTATGCTCCTGCCTCAGCCTTTTGAGGGCTGGGATTATGGAGGTGCATCACTATACCCAGCTGAATCCAGCATAGAGTTCCTCTGGGGCAAATAACACAAGAGCTCTTAGCCGTGTCCTCCCAGTTTACAGAAGAGGGAGATTTGGATCCCAGTAAAAAAGGTTTTGTGTCCTGGAAGAGGGGGCTCTTCCAGGAGAGTGAAATTGCAAAGCAGATAGGGACACCCCAAAATCCATTCCAAAGTGCCAATGTCCCACACCCCAAGAAGTCCCCAGGTGGCTGGAGAAGAGAAAGGAGAGACAGAGACAGAGAGAGAGAGAGAGAGAGAGAGAGAGAGAGAGAGAGAGAGAGAGAGAGAGAGAGATCATTCCCACAATGGCCTAGGAGTCAATGCTGGGTTAATAGAACTGGCAGGCCGCTGAGAATTCCTACCCTCTGGTTTCCTCAGCCAGCTCAAAGCCCCAGCTGCTGCTGGGGGGACGGAAGGGAGGGCACGGGGGACGACGAGCCCCCCACCCCCCCCCCCCCCACATTCTGTAGCACTAGGACAGGTGCGTCCTTGATCTGGCTCCCAAGCTTGAAGCTGCCCTCCAGCTAGGACTTTGTCAGTAGCAGTTAATTGACCCGAATTCTGAGCTGGTTTGAGAGACCGGAGCCAGAGTGCCGCCCATGAGGCATCTCTTACGTGGAAGGCCCTCACTTAAACCTCCTAACCGGAGGCTGATGATGGTGCAGGGACAATTATCTTCCCATGTTTTACGGCTCAGGAAGGGTAATCTGCCAGAGGGTGATGACGAACGAAGGCGATCGTGAATGCTCCTGAAGCCCACGTGCCTCCCCCTCCCCCGCCTCGAATTTACAGATTCCAAGGCTCTGGCTTCCGCCCCGACATCCCACGAGCCTCCCTGAACCGCCATACCCCAGGTTCCCCAGGAGGCAGTCCAGAGGTATTGGGGTGCAGCATGGGCACCAGTGGGAGCCGTGCCCGCCGTGCCAACCCCCACCCCCACCCCAGCCCCAGCCAGGCGGCCGCTAAGCTGCCCTTTGTTTCCCACTGCTCGAGACTTCTGCAGAGTCATGGTCACGTGGCGCTTCCGGCACGGGGTGTTCCAGGCTCCACGCCAGGGCCCGGAGACGCCCCCGCTCTGGGCCAGCCTGTGGGTTGCTGGCTGCCAGCCCAACCCAGAGCCCCTTATCCCTGCTGGGCCCATGGCCTGCCAAGCAGCTCAGCTCCGGGTCGCAGAGCCTCTAGCGTCCACTCTCCCAGGCGCCCAGCTGCTCTGTTCAGCCTTCTCTAGTTTTACATCCGGGACTGTCTCCTGGGCTCTTCCCACTCCTATATTATAGCGTCAAGTGCTTGCCGTCACCTTCTCTTGCCTCCAGAAACCCTGGAGAGTAACTAGGTGCCACACAAATCCTCAGTCTCCATTCTGTCACTTAAGGGGGTGGTTGAGTCTCCTTCCCTTCCTTTGCCACAGCCAGCAAGCATACACAAACCAGCAAGCAAAAACAGATGTCAGTTTATTGGGCTTGGTCTCCTCCTCTTAGACGGACAAAAGCCTGAACCTGTCAGAAATGCATCCCGTCCCTCTGCAGCCTAGCCCATCGAGTAGGCAGGCCCACAGAACAACATCACTCTCAGGAACTGTGGGGCCTTCTGGGGAAGACCTCTCATTCTCAGCACATTCCAGAATTCATCCACGATGCTGAAGCGATAGCTCAACAGTTAACAGAGCAAACTGCTCTTCCCAGCACCTACATCTGGCGGCTCACACCCCTTCTCCCCATCTCCAGCTCCAGGGTATCTGATATCTCATAGGACACAGGCACTCACATGCAGGTACCCACACATAGGCACACCTACTGTAATACTCATAATTGAGAGGGAAAAGGTATTAGGGAAAAGGTATTAAAAAAGAATGCAATCAGTAAATGTTTATCGACAGTAAGTATACTATGTGCTGGTAAATAGCCCCTCCCAAAGTGTACTAATCCCCCAAGAGTGTGGTTAAAGGAGAGGCAGCCTCCCCTGGCAGCCCTTCTCGAAGGCCTGTCACTTGGAACCTGGGGGGACTTTTTGGAGTGGAGGGCTGCCAGGGAAAATACAGCAGTCCAGAGTGGGAAGGGAGGCTGAAGGTGGAGATGTGTGCCGCCGTTTCCTCAGGGCTTGGTGGGGAAGAGCAGGCAGGTGAATCCCCGGCTGCCGCTGTGTCTGTCCACAAGGGGCAGTGGGTGCTTGGTGTAGTGCTGAACCATGGCGGCCACGGAGGAGAAAAGCTGCAGGAGGAGGCGGGGCGTCTGTGGGTCTCTCGAGCTTTATTCTGCTCGCCACTTTCTAAGGCAACCGTGGGGCCTAGCAGGGGAGCTGGCCGGCAGTTTTTTTTCTAGATATTTTCTCCCCGGTGTGCCATGAGACTGCAGTGCCATTTTGCTGTCTGGTTTCAAGCGTGCAACTGCCCTGGCCTGCTCTGATGATGGCCAGGCTCGGGTGCCAGAGGTAGGTGACAATTGCTTTAGGTCTAGGCCTCTACCCTGTTCTTTCTCAAGAGGAGCTGAGTGATGGGTAGCTTTGGTAGGCTGAATTCTACCAGTTGCTGGGGAGAAACCCCTTGGAGATTTTTGCCCTCCTCCCAGATGGTCTCAGTGCCCTCACCTTGACCCTATGAAGACTGAACCCATGGTGGGAGGAAGTACTTCCCCCAGAACAAGGTGGGTCTCTTTCCACAGTGCCAGATGCCTGAGAAGATGTTCTGGCCTCTGTCTTCTGATGCACTTGCTCTGTAGACCAGGCTGGCCTCAAACTCAGAGAGAAACCACCTACCTCTGCCTTCCGAGTGCTGGGATTAAAAGTGTGTGCTGCCACCACGCAGCTTAATTTTGTTTTTGTACAGGACCTCACTGTGTAGCTCCTGCTGGCGTAGATCTAAAGAGATCCACCTGCTTCTGCCCCCCCCCCGAGTGCTAGGATTAAAGGGGTGTGGCACCGTGCCCAGCTACCTTGTTTTGTTAGATTTTTTAAAAATCTGTTTTTATGGGTATAAATGGTTTACGTATGAGCACCCATGCATGCAGTACCTGCAGAGACCGGAAGAGGGCAGTGAATCTCTCAGAAGTGGGGTTATGGACAACTGTAAACTGCCATGTGGGTACTGGGTGCTCAGCTTGGGTCCAAACCAGTAAGTGAACCTAACCACTGAGCCATCCCTTCAACCTCCACCCTTCAGCACTCCACCCTTCATCCCTCCAGCCTCCACCTTGGTTTTTGAGACAAAGCCTCTCACTGGCTAGGAGCTCACTATGGAGGCTGGATGGCCAATGAGCCCAAGATCTGGATTTCTACCTCCCCAGCACCAAGATTATAAACCCAAGCCATCACAGTTGATTGATTTTGCATGGGTTCTGGGGGACAAACTCAGATCCTTAAATTTGCAAGGCTTATAGACAGAACTGCCTCAGAGGCCCCCACCCTCTGTCGTTTCTGCTCAGCCCAGGGTGGGGGCCAGAAGCAAACTGTGTGTTTCCCCCAGACACACACATGCTCTTGCCCAGGCTCAAGGTGCTGCACTGTGGCCCACCTTGCTGATTTGGCCCATGGTTCCTCCAGCACCCACCTCCTCATGATTCCTGCCCTCCCGGCCCAGGGCATAGTGGTGTCCACCATCCAGTTGCCGGATGGGAATGTTGAAGACCCGGCCTTTGAGGAGCACTGCCAGAGTGAAAGGCTGGGAACTGTGAGGCCCAGAGCTGAGACGCACAGTATAGGCTCCATCCTGTGGAGGAGACCCCACCATGAACTTCACCTTCTGATTACCTAAGCCCAGCTGAGCAATCATGTGCCGTGCCTCCCTGGCCCTCCTCCTGCTGCCAGCCTAATCAGCCACGGGCAGTGAATAGAAGGGATTTCAGAGAAGGCCAGGAGTCCACAGATGCCCACCTTTTGGAAGTGTAGCAGGGCTCTCTCGACAGCTTGGCGGTCGCAGTTCCCTGAGTACCAAGGCTGACCACGGAGGCTCCCATCCTAGATAATACACAAAGTCACTCAGAGATGTGTTCAAGCACTCGCTTGGGTATGGAGGGCGGAGAACCCTGCTGTACAACTATTTGTGTTTACATCTGCCAGCCCCAGACTGAGCCTGCGAGCAAAGCCAAGTAGTGTCTGGGCCCAGAGTGGAGCACAGGGGAGCTGGACACTGTGCTCAGTGTGTGTTCCTTGTGGTGGTCCAGGCCTCCGGCCAGGAGTGCTCACCCACAGTCTGCCCCTAGCTTCTGCTCACCTTGGCAGCAGAGGTGCTCTGGGCAGGGACTACAGAGGAAGCAGACATCCTCCGCCCTGCTGAGAGAAGCAGAAAAGAGAGTTGGAGCCAGGAAGGGATTGGGTAAGCAGACTTCATGGGCAGGGGCAGCAGCAGAGGGTGCCATGCCAGTATGTTCCCAGGCTCAGCACTCTTGGAGGACCCACCAGATAGTCCTTGCGTGATATCCAAATGAGAACGGATCTTGGGACACACACTGGCAGCTTCCCGATTTAGTGCAGACCCTGGGAAATGCCCAAGAAAGTCCTCTCAGGCCGGACCGTGGCGGAAGTCAGAGCTGCAAGGACCCCCTTGATGAAGTGAAGTGGGGCCTGGGAACCTGGGGGTGGTCTGTTGTCTGCAGGGCTGGGAGGGAGGGAGTGGGAGCCCTAGCAGCAGCGTCCCATTCAGGCTGTAAGTGTACATACTTACCTTTCAACGTGGTATCCACCGTTCCCTGGAACACAGGAGGCCTGGTCAGATGAGAACTAGACTTCCAACCCGCTACCCACATCCAGAAGCTACGCCCTGGGCCTCCTCCCACCCTCCGGGCTCACTTCCTCCTTGAACACTGGTTTCTTACCTTCCAAGACTCCCGATGAGCAACCATGGACCTACACGGAATAAATTGGAAAGCAGAGCTCAGATTTTTTTCTTTTTCTTTTCTTTTCTTTTCTTTTCTTTTCTTTTCTTTTCTTTCTTTCTTTCTTTCTCTTTTTTATTATTTTTGAGGGGCTGGAGAGATGACTTAGAGGTTAAGAGCACTGGCTGCTCTTCTAGAGGTCCTGAGTTGAATTCCCAGCAGCCACATGGTGGCTCACAACCATCTGTAATGAGACCTGGTGCCCTCTTCTGGCCTGCAGGCAGACACGCAGACAGGATACTGTATACATAATGAATAAATAAATCTTTTTAATAAACATTCTTCTTGAGACAGGGTCTCACTGGGCAGCATCAGCTGACCCAGAACTCTTACGTAAACCAGATTGGCCTTGAACTCACAGAGATCTGCCTGCCTCTGCTGCCCAAATGCTGGGACTAAAGAAAGCTGTTTGCCACCATGTCTGGCCTCTGGGGTTTCCTTTCTTAGTGAACTAAGTGCCCCAGGGTTTTCCCACTGCTGTCACTTACTTGGGCAATCCAGATGTTCTTGGCAGAGGGACTGGGGGTATCGGGGCTTTGGAGCTTGGAGTCCTAGTCAAGGCTGGGACTAAAACAGAGAGGGCAGGTAAGATTTGGCTGGGGACCAGGCAGGGAAGTCTAGGCTGACCAGACGTGACTCAGGACAGTCTTGCAATCTAATTCTGTTCCCTTAGCCCTGGACTCTCCTGAGCCCTTTGAATCATAGGGCGATACCAGCTTGGTGGCCCAGCTGCATCAGATGGGAATCTCCACCCAGCCCTTGGCAGGGACAGTGTGGGTCCTTCTGGACTAACGACAGAAATAAAGTTAGCCAGGCGGAATTTGGAGGGGACAGAAATGGGGTCACGAGAGAGTGTGCTCATGGGTAGCTGAGGGCTTCGGGGATGGGGTGGGGCAGGTGCTTGCTCACGTGGCTCCGGCTCACACTCCAGGTAGATGTCCTCATTGTGTTTCTCTGCAAGGTCTGTTACCTAAGGTATGAGACCAGGGGTTTCACTAGACCTGTGGTACCTTTTAGGAATAAGAAGGTGGTGCACGCCTTTAATTCCAGTACTCGAGAGGCAGAGGCAGGTGGATCTCTGTGAGTTTAAAGCCAGTCTGGTCTACAGAAACTAATTCCAGGACAGCTAGGACTGTTACACAGAGAAGTCTCAAAACAAAACAAAACAAAAACAAAAACAAAAACCCCACAAAAACAAAACAAAACACACACACAAAAACAAAACAAAACAAAAAAAAAACAAAGGAGGAATAAGAAGGCTGTGCTTCAGTTACTGGGATGGGGGACATCAAAGAAGCCACTGATTAGAAAGGGGTAGCTCAAGGCACTGCACTCCTCCTTATCTACACAGTAGGGGCCTCTCTTCAGTGACTTCTCTTTTAGGGGTGCCCACAGAGAGTGGAGGAGAGGCTCTGGGTGATACCTCCAGGACCACTGCCTTATCCCTGTGGGAGATGGAAAGACTCCACACCAGACCGCCCCCCCCAGGCTACCCAGGTGCCCATTCCACTACTATCAACTTTCTAGAAACTTCCCCAGACTACAGGATAGAGAAGGAACAGCTCACCACTCTAGCAGGTGCACCTCGCCCTGGAAGGAAAAGGGAGAATCAGCACCCGTACACATCGGCGGGCGAGGAGGAGCCGGGGCCCCCTTAGTCACAGTGCCCCTCAGAGCCAGCTCTGGAGACCCAGAAGAACACACTGCATTTGCTCATCCTCTTTCTTTGCAATTCTGAAATATCACCAGACTTGACCTCTCACTGAATTTTCTAAACTTTACTCCAGATGACTTCATGGTAAGGAAAAACAAATCAAAACAAAACAATATGGCCACCCTCAAAGTCTTGAAGGTTTTTCAGCAACTAAGAAGAGGAAGATGGGCCGTCCCTCAAGTATGCTGTTTGACCTTGGGAGGGAAAAAGCAAACTCTCATGCAACCTGTTTTAGACAGGATGGTTATGCAGTCCATCCCCGTCCTGACTAGGGCTCTGGGTCACTGGCAAGTATCTGGACACTGGAGGTAATCATGGCATGGATAGAATCAGTGGTGGCCCCAGGGGCCCCCAGGATGAGGGACAGTATACATAGAAGGGCCTGAGATTTGACCTCTTCATTTTAGGGTGCCCCTCACCTGATCCAGAGATCATAGGGCCTGGAGGTCAGGGCCTCTGCTTTTGAACTGCCTGGGGCATAGGAGTTCACGTCTCCGGGCCTGTCTCCTCACTGTCTCACTGGTGGTACTGATACTTGTACTGACGGCCTCAGGGGCTGGGCAAGTGAAAAGGATGCCTAGCTAGGAAATGTGCAGCAAGCTCAGTTCAAGGCAAACCCAAAACTCTAGCCTGTGGTGGTGGAGCCTTCCCTCCCAATGTGCAGCCAGGGAAAGGGGGACACTCCGCTTTACCTTGTCTTCCAAAAACAGGTCCCTGCTTTGGGGCTACAGGCTGCAGACTCATTGCCGTCTTCACCTGTGGGAACGATGGGGTTAGTGAGGGAGGTGGGAAGTGAGGAGCAAGGAAGCTGTGGTGGGAGGGGTAGAGCTATGTGTGTGTTCCTTTCAAATTCAACACTGAGAAGCTGGAGAGATGGCTCAGTGGTTAAGAGCACTGCCTGCTCTTCCAAAGGTCCTGAGCTCAATTCCCAGCAACCACATGGTGGCTCACAACCATCTGTAATGAGATCTGGTGCCCTCTTCTGGCATGCAGGCGGAATACTGTTCACATAATAAATAACTAAATTCAAATCCAACACTGACTGTTGGAAGAGCAGGAGTTCAAGGCCAGCCTGGGCTCCAGGAGACCTTCTTTCAACAGCCCCCCCCCCCCCCCCGCCCAGAAAACCCATCCAAACAAACAAACAAATACCAAACATTACAAGAGAGGTGCAGGAGCAGAACAATACTTTCTTTACTGTGAATTTTCCCTGTGTGTTTGTTTCTTTATATCTAGTCTATAAAATACGAAAGTAAAGGGATAGCTTTCAAAACGGGTAACCAGATCACAGTGGGAAAGGGAGTGAAGACAGCTGCCCAGAGAGGGCTCCTAGGGCCCAGAACCTAGGTGAGGGCAAGCTGAGCTTCCGTCCAGCTCCCAGAGAGCCCTGTCAAGCAGTGGGTGGAAACGGAAAGAACAGAAGGACCCTCTAGGCAAGTGGGAGGAGCTCCTCAGGGTTATTTGACTCTGGCTTCTACTGCACGGGCACCAGAGGTTTCAGGGCTTTTAGACTGTAAATGTGTAGTGGGGGTGAGGAGGCTGGCTTATGAGACCTCCGGGGAAGATTCACTCACCGGGAGATGGTAGCCAGAGGCAGGGCGTGGAGGGAAGGAAAGATTTGTGGGGAGTCCTCTGGCCTCGGTAGGCTGAGGCATGGGTGGTGATGATTTGGATGGACCGAGAAGCCCAGGACGATCTGGAAAAGACTCTGTGCTTTGTGGACTGGGGAGAGGGAGGGAGTTCTTCCCTAGTCTGTTCTGTTTTCAACACTTCCCACCTAGCCCCCATCTCTCCCTCCCTCCTCCTGTCCCCTCTACTTATTGGCTTCTTGACAGCTCCATCTCCATGGCAACTGGAGACAGTCAGCTTCCCTGCCCCCACCTGACTGAGCCCAGTGGGTGAGAGATGCCAGTGGTGGTGGCTTCTCAGGGCACTCCCACCCTGGCTGGAAAGATGCACAGAGATTTTAGAGTGGGGAATGCAAGGCCCTAGGGACTGGGTCGGGCTTCCTGCTTTGTCGATGTTGCCGTGGTTACCTCCCTCCTCCCTCCTGCCTCCTTCCCATTCTCCCTCTTTTCAGTTTTTTTCCCTCCCTTCTTTCCTTGTTTGCCCAGGCAAGAGGATTCAGCGGCAGCCAGTTGAAGTCCTTCCCTACCCCAGCTCAGGCAAGGGAGGAGAGCTAGCTTCTCCTGGACTCCTCCACGGTTGGGCCCTCTTGCCCTGACCCAGCCTCCGAGTCTCTCCCACCTCAATCCTCACCCAGATACAAAGAGTCCTCTTTAGAGCCAAAAGACTGTGCAGGGGCCAGGCTGAGGGGCGCAACCTCGCAGGGGGGCAGCTCGTATTTATCCTCCTCTTCTACCTCTTCCTGAGCCTTCAGGAAGGGATGCTGGTGGTCCAGGGGAGATGGGGGATGGACCATGTCAGGTCCCAGGAGCCGAGGCCTCCCTTCTCTACCCCAGCCCCCATCGTCAGCAATTGGCCTTACCCTGTGTCTCCAAGTCTCTGAGTCAGGCAGGAAAGATGGGCTCGGTATATTTTTTCTCCAAACTGGGGTATCTGGATAGATAGACTGGGGTGTCTGGATAGACAGACTGGGGTGTCTGGATAGACAGA